ACAAGATCAGATGGTTTGGTCATTAGTAAGAACGCAGCGAGAACAGCTCCCAAAGCAGGCACTACATGTGAAAAGATCTGAAGTGAAAGCAACAAACTGCCCTAGGAGATTATGAATTAAGGACATTAAAGAGCCTCTACATAGACACAGAATGATAACAGCCATCAAGCAGTGGCTTACAAACTGTTCTCCCCGAGCTGCTTAAAGGTGGAAATGGATGACAATGCTGGGGACAATTTTATTGTATAGTTTTTTATTCCTTTTTTTTTTTTTACATATACAGTGGAAACTCGCTTAACGAGCATAATTCGTTCCAGAATCATACTCGTTTAGCGAAACACTCGTTATGCGAAACAATTTTTCTTATATAAATGAATGTAAAATACGATAATGCGTTCCATGTCGAAAAAAAAAATACTCATAAAATGAATGTAACAATTTACAAAGAAAATAATGCGTTAAATCATCTTCATCTTTTCGCTAACGGAAGAACCCCCACCTGGAGTGCAAATTCGATCTAAAGAAAATAAAACAAAAAGTCGACAAAGTTATGATACATAGCTAATAATTTTTTTAGTGGAAAGATGTCCTGAGACATTTGTTTTTGCCGACTCTTCAAAATTCTGGCTGTGACAGCACAGTATGCAAAGCTCCATAGAGTGATGCTTTTCGGTGGATGCAGCAGTTTTCCGTGCTGTGCTTTCTTCGCCGGACATGTAGCTTTTCTGTTACCTCCTCCCCCTCCTCGTCCTCTGTTCGATATCACTGTTATCCACCTACAATCCCATGATAGTGGTCAAAGACACAATCTCATTGACTACGGGTTCCACAGGTACTGTCTCGAGTCCCTCAAAGTCACAAATCGACAACGCTCTCTGGCCACAGCTTCTTCCAAGCAGAAGTTAGGGTTCTCTTGGTAACCCCTTCCCCCGCCGTGTCGTTCATCTTGAGGCAGCCAACAATGTGGAAGTGATTTTTCCAAAACTCTTTGAGAGTGAGGTAGGTCCATTTAGTCACCTGAAAACAATGCTCGAAGAGTGCTATAGTGTAGAGCTTCTTAAAGTTATGCTGGTCCATGGGCTGGAGTAACGGACTGGTGTTGGGAGGCAAAAACTGGATCTTGATGAACTTAAATTTAAATTCTTCAGGGAGGTCATTTGTAGGCCTGGAAGATTCATGTACAAATATCACAATATAACACAAGTTTGAGAAAATGTGTGATCATAAGCGATACTACGATGCTACTGGAACGAGTGCTAAACACGGACTGATGTAACATGCGCACTCCACATGTGAGTTCCGGGGCCATATTGTAGGGAAAACAAGACTAGACCCACTGCCTACCCATGTCGTAAGAGTCGACCAATTGGGAGCTATCTTTGAAGTTAAAGTGCATCTGCCTGAGAGGAGAGGCAAGGAACCAGTAGTCTGCATACAAATCAGTCAGATCTGTTAAACGGATGCACACGCAACACTCAGGTTCTGGAACAGGACTGCAGTCCAGAAGTGGACGAACAACCCGAAATTTCCAGCGGAGTTAACAGCCGGTGAACGCGAAGAAGAAGAAGAATATGCGCACAATTCGAGACTTCCCCTCTCCCCCCACTCGTTATGCGAAACTTCACTCGTTAGGAAAGTCATTCTTTTACAATTTGTTTTGCTCGTTATGCAAATTACTCGTTATGAGAGGTGCTTGTTAAGCGAGGTTCTACTCTATATACATATATAGGAGGGCACTAGGGCTGTCTCAACATAAAGGCCGGCTGGGCACATGCTCTGGAGGCACCCGAGTATAGGCGCCCAATGTTAACCCCTGTATGTCAAGTGACCATTTCATTCCTGCGAGTGGTTGTCGTTGGGACCACAGCGCACTGGTTTCCCCTGTTGCCCATAACTGGGTTATGGCGGCTCGAGGAAGAGAGCACCAACATCTTTTAAGTGCTCGAGTTGGGGGGGGGGGGGCAACAAACAACATATGTTAAGTGCTAAAAACATCAAAGGTCTTGATCCGGCACTGTTGTTGTTTCTGAATAGCCAACCCTCAATACCACTGTCAAAATAAACGCAAGGTAGCCTGCTGTCATATCGCCTGCAGCTGGGATCAAATCTGCCACCTCGAAATTACAAAGCCCGTTTAATACCCCAAGAAGCGGCTGGCCAACGGTTAGAACGCTGGGCTGTCAAGAGAGAGACAGGTTCGAATCCTTGGAAAGGCTGAGATTTTTTTTCCTGTCAGGAGCAAAATAAAATCCTCATGTGCACAGTCGTGGCGACAGCGTTAGCCATGCGGTCGTAAATCCCCCCCCCCCCCTTTACACCGCAAAAGTGGTGTAACAAAGGCAGTCATTGGAAGTTTAATACCCCAGCCACCGACACCGTTTTACTATAGTACTCAACACTGAACCATCTGTATAGATAATCAGATCACCTGGGCGTGAATTGTAGTGAATCAACTGTTAGACTTTAACCCCCGTAGCACCCGCTGGCCACTCTCTGCACTCCCGACCCAATGTTATCATAACCCCACACAGGTTAGACTTGTCCTCTGGTACTCTGACCCACTCCTCTCCTCGCCCAATGTTCTCTAGCATGCTGAGCCATCCACTGTTTGCCCCTTTTCAGCCTCTGACCCTTGCCTGCAGCCAAAGCTTCATACAGAGGGTGTTCCCTGTCTGCAGCTACTCTAGCGTATCACTTAGCCTGCAGCATCTTTAGCCTATCTGCAATAGTCGGCAATGTAAGGATGTATCGCATGCACGCAATCGGGGGTGTCTCTTGTACAACCCAGGATCAGCCGCATAGCTTCATTCTGTATTCGCTCTAGTTTCTGTAGCTGACTCTTTGAGACAGTGAGTAACCCCAATCCATAATCAATCACTGAGATGATTAAGTGCTGGTAAAGTGTGAACAGCATTCTCTGCTCCATGTTCATCGCTGCCACAATCTTTCGTGCATTTAGACCTTTTTGAGCCCTTGTCACAACACCCTCTATGTGATCCCTGAAAGGCAAACTTTTATCCAAGGTGATTCCCAGGTACAGTCTGCTGTCTCTGTTGATGTCCCTGCCATTTATTTTGAGTCTGGGAACATCAGCTCTAACAATCCTGTTGTCCAAAGAACACCACAGGATGGTTGCCTTTTCTGGGTTGATTACAGCAGTCATCTCCATACACCAGTCAATCACCTTATCTAATGTCGCCTGTAATTCTTCAGTTATTTGATTCCCGTCTCTCCCCCTCCTATATATGAGAACATCATCTGTGAATGTCAATATTCTGCCGACTCCGGGTGTTTCCAGGTATGCAATCTTTTTCTTCTTCTTCGCGTTCACCAGCTGTAAACTCTGGCGGAAGGTTCTGGTTGCTCGTCCACTACTGAACTGCAGTCCTGCTCCAGAACCTGAGTGTTGCGTGTGCATCAGTTTTACAGATCTCATTCTCTTGAATACAGACTGTTGGTTCCTTGCCTCTCCGGCAGATGCACTCCGACTTCAAAGGAAGCTCCCCAATTAGTCGACTCTTACGACATGCTTTTGGGGAGGCAGTGGGTCTATTCTTGTTTTCCCCACAATGGGGCCCCGGAACCCACACGGGGGCGTATGCAATCTTGCTCGTAAAAACATTGAATAGTACAGGTGAAATTGCAGATCCCTGTGGTAGTCCTAGAGCTATATATAATAGATGGTTCAGAGGTCCATGAACCCAGAAGGAGAGCTACCCGGCGAGTACACAAAACAGCTACTATCCAGTTCACCAACCAAGGACAGACTCCCTTCTCCACAAGCGCTTTCATCAAGATACTGTATCTGACTCTGATGTAAGCGTCTTCTTAATCAAGTGCCGCTGCCACCGTTTCCTGTCTGTTCTTGAAACCTTCGAAGGTATCAAAGGCAAAAGTGGCTGTATTTGACCATGTGTCCTTCCCCGGCCAGTAACTCCCCAATCCTCGTGAAAGGAGCTTTCTCTGTTCCAAAAATTCGTGTAGCTTACCCGCCACTATCTGCAGCACTTTACCAAAGGTGTTTTGTAGGGTTATTATCCGAAAGCCCCCGAGTGTTTTGCCAGGCTTAGGAATTTGAATCAGGTAGCTGTGCATCCACTCTCAGGGACTGACGCTGTCCTAATGCTCTGGTTGAAACAAGCAGTCATCTCCAAGTTTGCATCACTCATGTCTTTCATGTTGGAATATCTAACTTCCTCGGGCTCGGGCGCAGTGTCTTTCGCTTTTTTCAGAAAACGTTTTTTATCTTCAACCTGTATGTCTTCGTAAGGTTTGTTTTATAAAATGGCTGCCAGATCTTCTCTAACTCTATCTCTATTATCTCCATCATTGTGGTGTCTGTGAAATAAGCCTCTTCATGAAAGCCTCCCCCTTGGAGAGCTTATGAAAATGTCAAAAATGCTGTAATGTCAGTTCTTAGATCAACACTCAAAAAATAACAAACAGCTTATGTTTACTATTCTTTGCTGTCCCACGTTTATCCTATCCTAGAACAACATTGCCAGTGATAGGTGTTAGAGCGTGTATGTTTTTAGTGAATACAGTATTGTGGCGTCTGGAACAATGGCGGGAATTTGTGGGCAGTTGTTCACATATTTGCTTTAACCTGGGGTCTCATGTCTCTTGAAGGCCTCTCCATATGGGAAGGGGAGAAATAACCACCCCCTTTTTTTTTCTCCCGTGTTAACTTCGTTGTGGCTCGCCCGACTACAGCAAAAATATCGTTGTCATTTTGTGGTCAACGGTCCACTGGTTAATTGTTTTCGTTCTCAAAAGTATCTATGAAGTGACACACCTCTTTAAAAAAAATCATGATCTCAGATGCTGTATATTAAATTTTAATATCAATCGTTTACTAATTCGATGCAGCTAGATCTGAAACGAATTGTTTCGCCGGACTGACTAGTTATACTTTTTAACAATTAGAAGAAAATGAGACGACTGGAAGTTTGAGAAACTTTCTGACAGACTATGCTGGTTATTTCTGTCTGTGTATCTCGATGGAGGAGTCGCAAGTATTTACACTGCTCTTGCTCTTTGCTTCTTGCTGGGCAACCGAGATAGATTTAACTGTTGAGATTTCACCGGGAAAACAGGAGTGCTTTTGGCAGACTTTCCCTGCGGCCACCAGTGTGGAAGTGGACTACCAGGTTAGCAGACTTGTAGTTTGAGCTGTTCTACCCCGCAATGTTGTAATCATGTAATCACTCAGTGTACTTTTCTCGATTGTTAAATCATATCCTGGTAGTCTCTTCTGTTGCTGAGTGATGCATACTGCTTATCTGAGCTCACTCCACCCCATTGTTAAAAAGATAACACACCGTAACTTACCTACTATAACTATTGATAGTGAAATGCCAACACATTTTTCGAAACGGTAGTTTAGGGCTTATAGAAAAGACATGCTGCAATTGGCATCCATAGCCATCTTCTCCAATTGTTATTGTTGGGGGATCCAACATATCGAATACAACTGTGTCTCATTCGTGCATCTTATTACTATAAATGGTAATATTATTATTCTGTGAAAATGTTCCCTTTCAAATATCTAAGAACTATGTGCGAAAATATTTACCATTTCGTTACTAAAATAAATTCATGAAATAAAATGTAGAAATGTTTGGCAACACCCATTTGGAATGCAGTGTTGAAAAATGGGCTGTTTGGTAGCTGTTCAATAAAACTTTCTGGCCGACCAACTGTACAACATGTAAACTGTGTAGTCTCCATAATAAAGGTTGGCCACAGTGCACCACCACTGCTGGTAATTTTAATTTCAGCTTCATAGCAAACGGGTCACCCCATCTTTGCTCCACTCCTGTGCCAACGAAAAACACACAGAATGTTTATCACAGTCCCTTGTGGAAAGACTGACAAACTGCTGTCTCAGCAAATCTAGCATACACTCGCATTAAAAGTGTATGGTAGCTATCCGAAGTGCTAACACAAACAGTCTGACGTTAGAAATGCAGTTCATCATTGATGGTAGCAGAAGTCACCAAAAGATCAGCAGTTGCACACGCGATCAATTTTAATCAAATAATGGCCCCACCAATATTGCGACAACCGGCATCGCGCAATTTTCTGAATCTACAAATCACACCACCACGTTGGTCAGTCGAAAAACATTCCAAATGAAATCTGCAGCTCACAGTGTCACGCCATGCACTCAACTCAGAAGCTGGGTAACGAAACTATATACTTCCAGTCTACAGATGGAGCAAAAAAGCAGCGGCCACAGTCTGGCAGAAGCAAAAAATTTTTGCCTCGGCTCAAAACAGTGACAGTGCCTAGTGTTCATTTGGACCTGAAGCATTATGTGAGGGTTAATAAACTGTTACCCCACCAGTACCCTATTATTAGCTGGGGAAGGGATTTAGGACATTACATCCACCAGCAAGCGTCGCCCCAACAACGATCTGACTGCCTTCGTTAACGACTGTTCTACCAACAGCCATGCAGTTCTTTGGCACGAAGGAGACACCTTGAACTTGGGTTTCGGACTGCCGACTCCCTACACGGAGATATATGTGTGCTACTGGTGTCCCTTAGCCAAAATACTATCTCACTGTATTACTAAAATTCAGCACGCATACTCAAACGCGCAGTAGTTAACAAAAAAAAAACAACAACAACAAACCAAAAAACAAAAACACATACACACATATTCATACACTCATTACCTGTCACCCGCTTGCTTGCTGGTGCAGCACACATGACTACATATTTATATAAGTATATATATATATATCGGGAGAGAGTGAGACAAGGGAAGAATCATGCCGAATGACCACAAATATGTAAGACACTGACACAGGGAATTCCCTATGCACACAAGGTCGGCATTACTGGCTCCAAGAAGGGGACAGTAAATTAAAATGGCTCAGTCAGATCAGACACAGTTCCTGCTGTGACAGAAAGTTGGCTGTAATAAAGGACTGCTGTAGAAAGGTGCACCCAAGGGACGGTTTCAGAAAGAGATGCATACTTTGTGGTAGGGTAACATTGCTTGAAAAATGTATTCTGCAAGCCACCAGGGGTTGCATTCACATTTTCTAGGTTCTAACAATAATAATACACTAGCGATGACTAATAATAATTATTAACAGCTCAGCCAATACATGCATAAATCGGCGTAGACAGAAAGAGAGAGATGGAGAGAGAGAGGGATCACATCGTAGCTAATTACAGCAAATGTATAGCGTTCATTGAGTCTTCTGTTTCGATATCCAAACGTGCTTGTTGTCAGCCATACAGTTTTTGCGTGCATTGATCAAGGTCTGAGAACAGAAAATCAAGTGCTGTGTCTCTACCTTCATTTCTAGGTGGCCACGAGGTCACAGATGAAACTGTTGTAGCAGGGTAGTAGAGCCGTGTGAACTTGAATCCTGGAGGTAAATTGGGTGCTTAGAGAATGTCGTGTTCTCAGGTGTATCTGGTGTATCCTGATGAGATGTCATCGCGAAGAAAGGTGAAATATTTACAAGAAGAGAATTCCGAGTGTCTGTAATTATTTATTCTTCCATTCGTGAACCCGCCTGCGTCAGAACAAATGTTGCTCCATTAAACGGCGTCTAGGTGTCCGAGAGAGCAGGACGTATATTGGTTGATGGCCTGGTTTCATATTCCACGTTTTACTGGTGTAAGATTTATTGTCCTCATTCTGTCTCACACAGATAGTAGCGGGCAAGTCGACTTTAATAACCGTTGGAAATACTGCTGCCACTGGGAATATTACAGTGGGCTCTCTTTTGAATAACGGTCCCAAATGAACTACGCAGACAGTTAACCCAAACAGAGCCTCATTACGTCCTGCCCTACAATCATTTGAAAGCTATAACTCGGGAAATATAAGGAACGAAAAGTATCCGGAAAATGGGGGAATTGTACTACTTACCGATATTGAGATCCTCTATACATGAAATTTGTGGCACAGAAGTTGCAAATAGTGCCTGAATATCTGTTATGTCTCGCTGTGCCGCCATTGGAACTCTGTCAGATAAGATGCGTCGAGGGCGCGATTGTAGCACAGAAGTTGCAAATAGTGCGCGAGTATCTGTTCTGTCTCGCTGTCCCCCATTGTAAGTCAGCACGGCTTGTCCGCGATTCTCGTTCCAGGCGAGACATGATGTACATGCGCGGTTTAATGTATGCGCATGTCGCCTCGGGACAACTTCAAACTAGCAGCCGCCACGATGGCGCTCCACTATCCTGACCACCACTTGACCGTGGCGAATGCGAGCACGCTGGTACTTCCGACAGAAACAGTAGCTCCTCTAAATTGTAGACTTTTTTTTCCGGCGACTAAAGTGCCACCTCTGAGCATAACCCCCGCGCCGCAGGAGCTGCGGTAGCTGCTGCTCGTGAGTCCTAGCCATCTAGTTTAGCCCCTTCCGCGCCGCACGTAGCGGCGCAGGGGATACTCTCGGAATTGGCACTATAGTCGGCGAAAAGTTGTCCGCAACTTACATATAACTCAGGCCCTGCCGTAGGATAGCGCTGTCGGGAGTATTCTCGCGTGTCGCTAATTTTTTTCGTCCCTAGTTAATCCTAGTTTTGCCGCCGTGTAATCACCGTTTAAAAAATCCGTTGCGTTTCGCGAAAATGTTGTGCGCAATTAATCTTTCTTTTGACACGGTTGATTTGCCGCAAAAGAAATGCGAATTTTAGATATTCGTGAGGCTCTGTTTTGGTTAACTGTCTGTGTAGTTCATTTGGGACCGTTATTCAAAAGAGAGCCTTACAATGTGATGAGGCCCCAGTCCCTTCCACATTGCGACTCTCATATCGCTGTCCAGAAAAGAGGTTTAAAATAAACTGTCCACATTAATATCTAATCCCAGTACTTGCGAATCATGTTTAGTTGTTGTATCAACGTGTTGCCAAAAATATGTAAATACAGAACTTCGTGGGAGAAAATCTATAGCCAATTCCATAAATGTAGAATACTAATCAATATAAAATATGACTAGAATGCTCATCAATAGATACATTCAGATGTTTCAACAAAAACAAAAATCTTTATCAGTGGATAAAACAGCAAGAATTTTATACTAAATAAATAAAATAAATTATATTACATGGACAGTTGATTATGTGGGGAAAGAAGCTTGAATGCAGTTAAGTTCTATTTTTGACTTTGATAAAATACATTAATGAGAGTTTCATTTTATTTGATACTGAGAACCCGATACTTATGCTTATTTTTCTGTTTGCCCTTTAACTCCTTCAGTCCCAAGAAAGACATCATATGTTCAGAGGTTCCTCCCCAGAAGTTCAATGACAGCACAATGTGCAGATTTTACGTCTCCCTGTACTACCCCTTGGACCTCTTGATGATAAATCACCTGGGACTGAAAGAGTTACAGAGTTGGTTAGCATGTCGTGGTTTACAGCTAAGCTGCAGAATCTGCACATTTTGGGCCAACACAGTTAATTTGAGTAAGCTCGTAATCAGTCACGTTTTGCAACATCCTTGATGGGGGTCAGCGGGTGTGTACTTGTTTCCTGCCAGAATAATGCCCTGGACCTCACAGGGAGAGTACACCCAGTGCTCAGATCAGTCAGTCAACTGAGATCATGGTGTCACTGTAAATTCTTTGTGTCATTTTTAAAAATTCATGACTCGTTGGAGTTTATGCAGTTCCTTTATGATATGTTGGTTAAGCAGATGCAACACATTGATAATCCTGCATCATTGTGTTTGACTCCATAATTCCCTTACTTTGTTTCATAGCTGATCCACAAACAAGTGATTTTATTCAGATAACTTCTAAATATTGTTTACATTTTGACTAGAATTAGTTAATAATTCTTTTAAATATTATTTTTGATTAGGGTGACAATACAAATATTTTGTGTATTTAAATTTTAAGCCCTAAGTAAAAAATGGTAGAAGTCGAAGGAAACTAAAGCTAGTTCAGCACTTATAATATTTATTTCTGACGTTAAATCAATACTGTTGTTGTGAGCTGAAACATAAAGAAAGACTTCAGTAATGATTAATAAACTACAGCACTTCAGGAACAGCTGAGATGGATATACAGTCAAACTGCTGTTGGTACCACTGGAATTAGAACTCTTCCCTTGCTGCTGAAGATGGGGATGGAACCCTTATGGGAATGTCCCAGGTACTGTGATGTTGATTCTTAGTTAAACATAAATAAACTACAAACACTGGTGCCTGTAGAGAACATAGACAATTCAGTGATATGAAACAATCAGTCACTTAGAGCTTTGGGAGAGCAACTGAACCGTTTCATTGAATCACCATGTGAGGACATTATGCTGGTATTGAATAGGACCAGGGCTTTTTGTCTGGTGGTGTGCAATACGAGCGTCTTTGTTAGGCATCATTTTTTAGCACTACTTTACTAATCACTGTGTGGTGAGTACCGGCACCTTTTTTTTTTTCAGAAAAGAAGCCTTGCATAAGACACAGATTAACTCTTTGAGTCCCAGGGGGTTTAGCATCACAGGCCTAGGGGATAGTAAAGAGAGTCGTATAATCGGCGCATCATGCGTTCATTGGGCTTCTAGATAGGAACCTATGAACGCATGATGCGTTCCTCGGGACTCAAAGAGTTAAGGAAATCTGATAACAACATAATTAGAATATCCTTGCACAGGAACCTGCTGGTTCAAAGAAGAAAAACATTTTTTTAAAGCACCAAAAAAAACAGGGACAAGAGAATTAGAAAGTTAAATGCGATAGCAAAGGATAGGAATTCTTGGCACACGATGGTTGGCCTCTGCTTCATTGAAGGACAAAGGTCAAGAGAAGAACTCAAGAATAAAGAAAGAAAAGATAGGTGAGGTGCACTATTTGAAATGAAATGATTCAAGATGCAGCATGTAAGCTTATGTGTGTGTGTGCATGCTTGTCGTCTGTAGGTGATTGATGGTGGTGACCTGGATATAGACATGATGGTGGCTGGGCCAGACAACAGGATTTATCACACAGAGCAGAGAAAGACAGAGAATGTTGTTGGGTATGTTATTTGTGTGTATCCCCCCCCCCCCCCCCCCCCCATCCATATTTGTTGTTTCTCATCCACAATATGGCAGCAGCATTCAAACATTTTAGGCTCTCCTGGTTCTCAGAAATTGCTGAGGACACTTCATTTCCTATCATGGGAAGGGGTAGGGGGGTTGTACAATGGTAAAAGCCGAGTAACAAAATTGGGAATAAATTGAAGTGAATGTCAGATTTTTTCAACTTCTTTTTTCTTTCATGGTCTCACTGATACCAGGTTGTAGCCCGGTGTCGTGGTTTTCTGTGTTTGTCTTGCACTTCTCCGGTGGCTTGGGTGGTGGATTTTTACATCTTTTTGCAGGTTTTAGCTACACCATTTACTTATCTCTTTGTTGGTCTTTCTCCCACCTTCCTTCCAGATGTTGTGCTCTAAAAAAATGGCTTCATCATTATTATGCAGCAGAATGTTGCCCCCATGAGGTCATGTCAGAAAGCCAGTCAGTCCCTTGCCAACCTTTCCCTCCTCATGAACTTTCATGCCCAGGGTCTCCTTCATATCCTCTGTCCACCCTCATGGTTTTTTTTTTTTTAGCCTTGGCTTTTGTCTTCCAGGAATCTTAATGTCAGCTTTACAGAACAGTTTCAGTTTTTAAAAAAAACACAAGACTTTCAATGAACAAGCCTTTCTAACCAAACAACAATGAGGAGCAAAGCCAAGGCAACAATGAAAATAATGCTGAAGTAACTACATAAAACTGAGTAGAGTAGCCAAGGACATGGAGCTTTTATTGAGGTGGGTTGTAAATTACAAAGAGCATGAATAATCTGGAGACAGTGGAACAATGTTATGTTTAATAGTTTGCCAATACTTTCTGAACGATCAGTTCTCGGTACCACTGTAGAAACCAACACATGACAAATCGTCCACGGCTGGGATTGAATTCAACACCCCAGTATTACAAAGTGCCATTGCAGCGCTTATGCCACAGATTGAGGTAGTCGACTGTCTGCAGTTTGGCTAAATTATGACGCATACTGATATTTTAAACACATTGTTCGTATCTAGCTGTTATTTGGTTGACCTCTGAATTACATTCTCTTCCTCTGCTTTTCTTCTGAATTAAACTGTTTCCAATAAACATTTAATTGTAACTGTTCAGAATTCATGATGATGAATTTGTGATGAACACAACTTTCTCACCTGTGGTAGCCTAGTGGCTAGACACTTTCTTGCTGGTCCCAGGGTCTTGGCTTCGAATCTGCCTGGGACATGTTGGGGGGGGGGGGAAGAATGACCATGGTTGCCCAGTTTTTATTGCCTAAAATGGTTACCAGGACAAGTTCTGTTTGGTCTGCTGTACAAATATGATACTGGTATCATATGCTTGATACTCCACTAGTACCGAAATGGTCCTTAACTGACAACTATCACTGCAAGCTTGTCATTTCACATCATACGTGTGTCTCTCAACTCTCATATGCTGCAAGCTTGTCATTTCACATCATAAGTGTATCTCTCAACTCTCATATGCTGCAAGCTTGTCATTTCACATCATACATGTGTCTCTCAACTCTCATATGCTGCAAGCTTGTCATTTCACATCATACGTGTATCTCTCAACTCTCATATGCTGCAAGCTTGTCATTTCACATCATACGTGTGTCTCTCAACTCTCATATGCTGCAAGCTTGTCATTTCACATCATACGTGTATCTCTCAACTCTCATATGCTGCAAGCTTGTCATTTCACATCATACGTGTGTCTCTCAACTCTCATATGCTGCAAGCTTGTCATTTCACATCATACGTGTATCTCTCAACTCTCATATGCTGCAAGCTTGTCATTTCACATCATACGTGTATCTCTCAACTCTCATATGCTGCAAGCTTGTCATTTCACATCATATGTGTGTCTCTCAACTCTCATATGCTGCAAGCTTGTCATTTCACATCATACGTGTGTCTCTCAACTCTCATATGCTGCAAGCTTGTCATTTCACATCATACGTGTGTCTCTCAACTCTTATATGCTGCAAGCTTGTCATTTCACATCATACGTGTATCTCTCAACTCTCATATGCTGCAAGCTTGTCATTTCACATCATACGTGTGTCTCTCAACTCTCATATGCTGCAAGCTTGTCATTTCACATCATACGTGTATCTCTCAACTCTCATATGCCACAGGCTGATTCCACACTCCATCTACTACTCTTATCCTATACCTGCCACCATCTTACTCCATCTGTTCTTCCTAACACCACATCTTGCACACTTGCATGCCTCACTCAAAATTCTCTCACACTGCACTTGTGGCGTACCTCACTGTTTATGAACCAATCACTTCATGTAATCTATAAAAAAAAAAAATCATGCCTCTAGACCTTCGTATCAACATCACAGGTTCAAGACCACGTCCGAAGGAGATTACCGAGTCTGTTTTGACAACACTTTCAGTAGGATATCCAGTAAGATTGTTTACTTTGAAATATTTGCTGAGGATGGGAAAGACGATGATGGGGCTGATGATGATAATGATAATCTTACCTTTGAGGGAGAGAACATTCAGGGTCAGCTCGACATGACAGTTCAGGAATTTGTGGTAAGTTAAACTACAGTCGTTTGTGTTATCTAGTTATCTGTTGATCTACAGTCATTTGTGTTATCTAGTTATCTGTTGATCTACAGTCATTTGTGTTATCTAATTATCTGTTGATCTACAGTCATTTGTGTTATCTGTTGATCTACAGTCGTTTGTGTTATCTAGTTATCTGTTGATCTACAGTCATTTGTGTTATCTGTTGATCTACAGTCGTTTGTGTTATCTAGTTATCTGTTGATCTACAGTCATTTGTGTTATCTAGTTATCTGTTGATCTACAGTCATTTGTGTTATCTAATTATCTGTTGATCTACAGTCATTTGTGTTATCTGTTGATCTACAGTCATTTGTGTTATCTAGTTATCTGTTGATCTACAGTCATTTGTGTTAACTAGTTATCTGTTGATCTACAGTCATTTGTGTTATCTAGTTATCTGTTGATCTACAGTCATTTGTGTTATCTAATTATCTGTTGATCTACAGTCATTTGTGTTATATAATTATCTGTTCATCTACAGTCATTTGTGTTATCTAGTTATCTGTTGATCTAACTCTGCATGCAAATCCTTTGTTTAAAATTCTCAGGTTTTTTCCCCATTTTTGGGTGGTGGTGCTATGTCTGCCAGAGTTCAGGACTGGAGGTTAAAGGTTATGTGGCCAGGCAGCGACTATAAGTGTACAGTGCTAGACTTTAAATTGCATCTCTGATAGACTGTCTCTTGCTTTACAGGAGGCTATTGGCTTCTTTATTATTTGTCATTGTTTCTATACTAGTTTTCTGTATGATTGTATCTGTCCTGAATGGTAATGGTATATCTCGTGCTCATTTCCCAGTTTAACTGAAGTATTGCCAAATCTAGTTTGGTGTTTCTTTGAGCCACTCTTTAATTTCTTCACTTTATTTTTCAACATTTAAGCTGATGGATTACAAACACGGTTTGTAATTCTGAAATACCCACTTGAATTGCAGCAGATGATTGATGGCAGCAGATGTTGACAGTTGTTTGGAGCAACCACGGTTCTGGAAGTAATGGCAAACTACTGAATGTAATCTTGCCACAGACAGCTAACAAATGCTGGTGATGGTTTGTAGTGTCCTCTATCAGACAGCTAACAAATGCTGGTGATGGTTTGTAGTGTCCTCTATCAGACAGCTAACAAATGCTGGTGATGGTTTGTAGTGTCCTCTATCAGACAGCTAACAAATGCTGGTGATGGTTTGTAGTGTCCTCTATCAGACAGCTAACAAATGCTGGTGTTGGTTTGTAGTGTCCTCTATCAGACAGCTAACAAATGCTGGTGATGGTTTGTAGTGTCCTCTATCAGACAGCTAACAAATGCTGGTGATGGTTTGTAGTGTCCTCTATCAGACAGCTAACAAATGCTGGTGTTGGTTTGTAGTGTCCTCTATCAGACAGCTAACAAATGCTGGTGATGGTTTGTAGTGTCCTCTATAGGATACACAAATCACTTTAACAAATGTTTAATCTTCAAAATGGTTGGCTTCTTTTACTTTAACAGTCTGCTTTTGGTCTGGTGCTTACTGACAGTAGGTTTTTTTTTTTTTTTTTTTACAGTCAGTTTGTTCTGACAGTAAACAGAATAGCAACCAATAATTCCTGTATCAAGGATGATTTAAGGTTGAGTGTTTCATGAATACCATTACAAGTAAAAATAATATAAATAAAACAGATAGGGGAAATACATATTTCAGTTTTACAGAACTAGTAACAATAAATGAAAAAAGGAAGCTTCTGCAACTAGCCTTTCTCTGCAAACTGTGACAAGAAACACAACATGAAAAGCTGAAAAAGCACATTAAAAATAAATGCCTGTATACTTGTTCCTGTTTGGTCTGCATGCTGAAAAGCTGATTCTATTGCAGGCCGTCTAGTCTACTACAGATGTCTATGAATATGTCAAGCTTGACTACATCTGTAAACTGCGTTTGAATGTTTTCAAACTCATATCATTGTGATCTCTTTAGCATCTTTGAAAAATATGCAGATCTGTTCATGATCTGATCTTTAGAAGTGGATAACCTTTGCTCTGTGTTTAATCAACAAAGTTTCTTTAAAGAATACAAATACACACACACATACACACACACACGTGCGCGCGCATGCGCGCACACACACACACACACACACACACACACACACACACACACACAAAGAAATTAGCATTTGATGTGATATGTGGTAATAACAGAAACTAGCATAGATTGCTGACCATGTGGGTGTCACTGAGTCAGTGTTGTAAAGTTAGCTGAGCTGTACATAAATAAACTAACTGTTCACTGTCTCAAAGACTCTTTGGTGCTTCAATGAAAGAGTTAATTGCCTCTATAATACAGAAATGGCTGTGCCACACATGCAGTCATCGTTTCAGATTCTATGGACATGCTTCAGAAAATCGCTACAGGTAGTCTGATTGCATCAGTGGCATCAAAAGAGCCATTTCTTATTTTTGTTGTTTTTGTAGATTCAGTCTGTTTCTTATATGATTAGCTTGTTGTATTTCTGTACCCTGGGTGGTCATCTAGCTTGTGTGTTTGAGTGATGCCGTGATTATTAATGTGTTGTATGTAGATCATCAGAATGTTATGCCCAAGCTTTCTCTAAGCTCTCTTTATTAAGCTATTTACTGTAGGATGATAATGAAAATATATGCATAATAATAACTGGGGAGGGGGGGATTACATTTTTTTTCTTAAGATATGGTAGTGACAGACTGACTCTTAGATTACCATAATGACACTATGACTCTGAGTAAAATAATGCCACTTTATCTCTTAGATTCTAATAATGACAGTTTATGTCTGTAATGGTGTAAAAATGATACTTGATGTCTCTTAGGGCATACTGGAGAGGGCGAAGAAGAATCTGGAAAACTCTGTCCAGGTGCAGACATTAATAAGGGTGCACGAAGCCAAGGATCGCAATGTTCAAGAGGCCAACTTCTTCCTAGTCAACCTGTTCTCATCTTTACAACTGGCGTTGATGATTACAGTGGGGCTGGTTCAGGTTTTTATGATCCGCAGTTTGTTTCTGACCAAACAGCCCATTAGTGGTGCTTCTCTCAAGGCTAGAACATAGTGTGGAAGTGTGTGTTTGTGTGCAGACATGAAGATATGGACAGAAGTGTCAGAGACAGTTATTGCATGAAACCTTTCTGCCCTGTGAATTGTTACTAAATAAGTTTGATGTGAGGAGAGGGTTAAAATAACAACTGTCAGGAGTTAGGAAGAGTATGGCAAGAGCAGCAGTGCTGAGTGGGGTTGGGGGGGGGGGGGGGGGGACTTTTATGTATGCCTGAGCCATACAGAGGTTAGCATGAGAGAATGAGATTGCAAGGCTTAGTATTTGGGCAAGTTTAAGATGAGATCAGGGTTAACAAGACTAGTTCAGGTCAGGGTAGGGTCAAGTGGCAAGGATGGTTACAAGGGTGCAGAAGTGAGGTTGTGATTTGTAAGCATGTGCCTCATGGTTGTCGGGTTGGACTGGCTCAGTCAGCTGCTGGGTCTAGGCTGGAGTTGGGGTAATAGTTTGGTGGCAAGTATGGGTATGGGTCAAGGATTGGGCCAAGTTTTCTGGGTTAAAGTGTGAGCGGGTTGCAAGAATTGGTGTGGCTCAGATTGGTTCTGGTTTGAGGTTGCACCAAGGTTGATACAGTTATCAGAGAGCAAAGGAGACTGAGGATTATATAAGTTTGAGGTGGGTTGGGTGTCATGATGGATCTAGGATTGAATAAGTATGATTTTGCATTGTATTTAGTGGTAGACTAGAAGAAGGGGCAGGGTGAGTACACTGTTACAGTTGAGGTATAGGCATGGATACTGGATCATTGGTTTTCTGTAATTGTAGAGGGTTTAGGATGCAAGTGTAATCTGATACCTTAAGATCATATGATGTTAACAACTTCAAATTGACTGCTGATTTATTTAAATATGTCTACAAAGGATGCCTGAAGGTATAAGAAGAAGATTCTCAAAATTGATAATCCAAAGAGATGCAGTTTATAAACCACGACATGGGAAGAAAATAAAACAGACCCCTCTGTCTGTAAACTGCCCCACTGACTGCCCCCTGGGCATCTTATGTGGGAAAATGTCATGAGACTATAGTGGATGCGAAAGACCACTGCAGTAAAAGTCTAACAGGCAAAAGAAGTGAAGTGCTCATTTATGTAGGTCACTGAAATCCCAGGTGTTCAGGCTGTCTACTGCTGGCTTCTAAAGACATAGCCCATGATGAACCAGTTGCTGAATATATGGAAGTGAGGTTAAACAGTCATGAGCAGAACATGATGCTTCCTCGGGTGAGCCCAGTACCAGAGCACCATGTATTGGCTCGGCATTTATGGAGGCCTCCTTGAGTGGTGGGGAATGCTCATGTCCTGCTCCTGCCTTCTCTTGAGGGCTGACCAGTATTACCTGGCTTCTCTTGAGGACTGACCAGTATTACCTGGCTTCTCTTGAGGACTGACCAGTATTACCTGGCTTCTCTTGAGGACTGACCAGTATTACCTGGCTTCTCTTGAGGGCTGACCAGTATTACCTGGCTTCTCTTAAGGACTGACCAGCATTACCTGGCTTCTCTTGAGGGTTGACCAGCATTACCTGGCTTCTCTTGAGGACTGACCAGCATTACCAGGCTTCTCTTGAGGGTGATCAGTATTACCTGGCTTCTCTTGAGGGCTCATTACCTGGCTTCTCTTGAGGACTGACCAGTATTACATGGCTTCTCTTGAGGGCTGACCAGCATTACCTGGCTTCTCTTGAGGGCTGACCAGTATTACCTGGCTTCTCTTGAGGACTGACCAGCATTACCTGGCTTCTCTTGAGGGTTGACCAGTATTACCTGGCTTCTCTTAAGGACTGACCAGCATTACCTGGCTTCTCTTGAGGGTGATCAGCATTACCTGGCTTCTCTTGAGGGCTCATTACCTGGCTTCTCTTGAGGACTGACCAGTATTACATGGCTTCTCTTGAGGACTGACCAGCATTACCTGGCTTCTTTTGAGGACTGACCAGTATTACCTGGCTTCTCTTGAGGGCTGACCAGTATTACCTGGCTTCTCTTGAGGGCTGACCAGTATTACCTAGCTTCTCTTGAGGGCTGACCAGTATTACCTGGCTTCTCTAAACCAGCCTTATGTGGGTCACTACTTTTGACCTGGGAAACAAAGATGACCACACAACAGTGAGACTGCAGTGTTCCACGAAACTAACCAGGAAGGCTTACCTGGTCAACAAATGCTTGCAGAAGTCAGATATATCTGCCAAAAGGCGCAAATATCGCAGCCATGCTGTAAACAGGCACAACTTCAGATGAACGCAGAAAAAAATGTGCAAGCAACAAAAGGGTGTATTAATTATAAGACTTAATAATACGGTCTTAACATGGTCGGCTCTGAGTGGGAGAATACTGGTTGACACTGGTTGCAAATAAATTTAGAGAATAATAATGTAAACATAAAACAGTAAAAATATGTTTTGAAAATTGTGTGGCATTTGCTCAGTTTGTAGAAAGAATGAAATTGTTTTATTACATTTTTTTTTGACAGTTTCCTTCTCAAAACGGTCTTCCTGTAACCCCCAGTGAGTTTACTACAGATTGTTTGATCCAGATTCCTTTCATTAAAACAATATCAGATGTGCAGCCACTATGTGTCAGCCCTATATATATTTGACCTTTTTCCACTGTCAGTAATGTTGCTGATTTTTTCGTATAAAGAAATTTTTGTTTCGCCACTTTTAAAAATAATATTGTTAAACATTTACAACATGAAAGATGCAAAATGCAGTTTAATGAAAGGTCATATCACTTCCTTACAGAAATGTTTGCAGATATACTAGTTTGTAATGTGTGCCATGTTTAACTGTTCAGTGATTGTCACTAAAATAACAACACAAGAGTTAGACTTGACCTTCGTTTCCATGGTGGGAGAAATGTCCGCACTTCTGGATCCTTGATTCAGTGTTCTCATTGATTGTTGATGAATGAGTACCACTCAGTATTACTGGCTATTATGAAGCTTAGCTTGTTTAGAAATCTGTTTTTCAAAGACAAAACCATGCGGTTTTCTGTGTGTGTTAATTTGTATTTGCTGAAACAGTAACACCCGTATGTTACTCGTAGTTTGCATAATTTGTTTTGTGTTTTGATGTGTTTGACTTTCTGACTTCTGCACTGACATATTACATTGGAATTCAGGTTTACGTGTTTGGTTAGCTTTGATGACAGTGACATCATGTTTGGTTAGCTTTGATGACAGTGATATCATGTTTGGTTAGCTTTGATGACAGTGATATCATGTTTGGTTAGCTTTGATGATAGTGATATCATGTTTGGTTAGCTTTGATGACAGTGATATCATGTTTGGTTAGCTTTGGTGACAGTGATATCATGTTTAGTTAGCTTTGATGACAGTGATATCATGTTTGGTTAGCTTTGATGACAGTGATATCATGTTTGGTTAGCTTTGATGACAGTGATATCATGTTTGGTTAGCTTTGATGACAGTGATATCATGTTTAGTTAGCTTTGATGATAGTGATATCATGTTTGGTTAGCTTTGATGACAGTGATATCATGTTAGGTTAGCTTAGATGAAAGTGATATCATGTTTGGTTAGCTTTGATGACAGTGATATCATGTTTGGTTAGCTTTGATGACAGTGATATCATGTTTGGTTAGCTTTGGTGACAGTGATATCATGTTTGGTTAGCATTGATGACAGTGATATCATGTTTGGTTAGCTTTGATGACAGTGATATCATGTTAGGTTAGCTTTGATGACAGTGATATCATGTCTGGTTAGCTTTGATGACAGTGATATCATGTTAGGTTAGCTTTGATGACAGTGATATCATGTTTGGTTAGCTTTGATGACAGTGATATCATGTTAGGTTAGCTTTGATGACAGTGATATCATGTTTGGTTAGCTTTGATGACAGTGATATCATGTTTGGTTAGCTTTGATGACAGTTATACAGGGTTCGTAGTGGACCGGGAAATCGGGAAATTACCGGGATTTTTTTCGTTGACCTTAAACCGGGATTTTTAGCTTATAAAAGACATTTCGACCTTGAAAAGCCGTGAATTTTGACCGCGGCAATGAAATCGTCAGAAATCCTGTGTTTTTCAGCACAGGCAATTTTGGGGGAGCCATTTGGCTTTTTTGGCCATTTGGCTAGTTTTTGGCTACTTTCGTTGTATGGTCGTTTCAGGTGTGAGGGCAGGGATTATTGGCTATTTTCAGCCGAAATGGCTTGTTAAAGGCCAGGGGAGGGCGGGCTTTGTTACAGATCGTGAATACACGCAGACAGCAGCAGTGTGGCATGGGGCGGGAAGGAGCAGCTTCCGTCTCGCGTGTGTGTGTGTGTGTGTGCCTTTGTTTCTAGCAAGTCGGGCAGAATGAACAGTTTAAATCGTTTATGGCCGTGGTTTCTAGAAAGGATTACATTGGGAGATGGTGGGGCTCGGTTCAGTTGTATTTATAAATAGAGTCGCCGTGGTGGGGCTAAGCACGGCCTTTTCTATTAATTAGAGATGGTATTGGGGCTAAGCAAAGTGACTGCAGCTGGATTTCCCAGTTCTATTTTTGGCCTGGATTTATCTTTACAGTGTGTTTGGCGGCGATCAGTATTGTAATTCCCCGAGATTCCCTCTTCTGTTGTCTCACCCCTCTCTCTCTCTCTCTCTTCCCTCCCTCTTTCACTCTTCTACCTATTGCTCCTTCCTTCCCGTCTCCTGCATTGTCTCTAACCCTCCCTTCTGATCTTCATCTTCTTCTCTTTCTCTCTATCTTTCCTTTTACTCTCTCATTTCCTGTCCCCCCTCCCCCTTTTTCCTATTTTATTTCTTGTTTAAATGTTTAGTAAATGTGCGGCTCCATAACTCTTCCTAGCAACTCAAGTACACAGGAAGTTGTTCCGGGGGGGGGGGGGGGGGGGGGTGGCGGGGGGGGGGGGCGGGGGGGGGGGGGGGGGGGGGTGGTCATTCTGTGTGAACATGGTGGATATTTTCTTTTGATGTGTTTGTTTTCCTAGCGGCCTTAATCTCTGTCCATCTCCCTTCCCGCCCCCTCACAT